TAATTCTGTGTTATCAGTCTGTTTGTGGTTAAAAATGGCGATGGTTTGCATGATCTCACTTTTAGATGTCGGTATTATTCACATCTGACCTTTCGATTCTTACTCTCTCTTTATACTTTGAAGGAAAATTGTATCAGTTGTCTTATCTAATTTGAATTGTTGGTTTTACAAGAAAACTTTATATATATATTTTATTTTAATTCTGTATTTAGTAAAACAGCTGCATGCCATTTTAGCTCCTCCAAGCTCTTGACTGCGTAGATTTTGCTTATTTCAAAATTAGATGTTGACTAGAGAAGGTATTCATATTACCTCAGTATCACAAATGCAAAATCAAAGAAGAATACAACTATATGCAAGCTGCAAAAAAAATTTTTTTTATCTGCAACATCCTCATCTGCGATACAAATTATGACATCTGGAAGAGCAAGTCACACATGCGTTCAGAAAGAGCTGAAAATGCTTTCATTTCATCTGCCTGTTTTTTTCCCTTAATTGTGAGATTTTTACAGTATTGCTCCACATTAAAACAGCACTATAGTCACTATGTACGCTAAAAGTCTTAATACTAAACTTCCACTGGATACTGTAAATGGTAATCACTCTTGTTTTGGACCAATACAAGGGCAATTCCAAGCCTGCTGTATTATTTTCCATACCCCATTGTGATTTTGTATTGCCTATGATATATGTAGTGTTTATGACCAATGCCATTTTTGTTTTTGTAGGCTGATATCCTCTAATGCACTTAATGACTGTTGATAATGATATTCACTTTGCTATGGTGAAATAAAGTTCATAAATAGATGTTGCTGAAGTTGCTGCTGTGTGTTTCACTTGGCTTCCTCTGAATGAACCAAATATGACAGCATGTACAAAGAAAATTGGGACTGGATTTCCCTAATTTTGCTTATTTATTGAGGCATGTGCATTTTTGATAGTCAGTTTCTGTAGGCACATACAAAAGTCTTGCCAGCAAAAATAATTAAATTAAATAAAATGCAGTTTATTTAACACATTGACCTTTTGTGACAACGTGTCCTAATTGAATGGGATGTTGTTTCAAATTACATTTAAACCAATAAACAATTATAAAACAAAACAACCAACAATAATAAAAAATCTAAAAGATAAGATACTAAACTGTTTTGTTTTGGCCAATATTTGTAAATAATACTAGTAATAATAATTATAAAATTACAACACAAGAAAAAAATATTCCTGGCAGAAAATTACTAGTACCTTTTATGTTAAGTTTGTAGACATTTCCTTCAACCCTAAAACAATGCAGTGAAATGTGTAATTCAAAATATTGGTAAAAGACCTCTGAAAAATCAGTACAGATGACACATATTAACATATTAACTAATCATCGTTTAGGCTTTATTTTTACAAACTTTCCTTAGCCTTTTAAAATCTAATTATTTCTTTGCATTTTTTTTATTTAGTTGGGGCAATAATAAAAAGTTTTTGGTGGAGTTTATGTCTATCAAATGTTTGGAATAGATATACTGTATATAGATAGATAGATCATATATTTATAATAATTTACAATTATATAATTCAAGATTTTTATTTGTCACCTATAGTGAACTGGAAATCTGGTCTGCTCCATAGACTGAATAAAATATTTAAAGGGGTCATATGATGTGATTTAAAATTTTCCTTTCTCTTTGAAGTGTTACAAGCTCTTGGTGCTTAAAGAAGATCTGTAAAGTTGCAAAGACTAAAGTCTCAAATCCAAAGAGATATTCTTTATAAAAGTTAAGAGTCAACCACTCCTACCTAAAACGGCTCATTTAAACACCCCCCCACATGTCTACCTCACTATCTGGGAAGATTTGCATAACACCACCCAAATGTTCATGCAAAAAAAGAAGGCGTAACTTTTATTCTCACTGTAGTATTGTTGCTGCTGCCATGTCATGAAGACGCTGTGTGTTTCATTGTGAAAGCAAAACTACTTTGTTTGGTCTTCCAAAAGAGGATTTAGCAACATCATATGACCCCTTTAAAGGATAAACACAAAAATGTAGAATGTGCAAAAATAGGTAAATAAATCAATAAAAATACAAAATAACCGCAGATTGTTATGGTAGAAACAATCAAATGTACTGTGTGCAGAGTGTCACCAAGTATAACTGATAAAACTGAGCAGGAGTCTTATGAGATGTAGACAAATCCATGTTGAGGAAGGTAGTTTTGGAGCAGTTGTACTGCTAATAATAAAGTACATTCTTCTAACACTAAGTGATGATCTGCCCTTACAAGCACTTTAAACTTTCATGTGAAATGTTAATGTTTGTCATTTTGTTTTATCATTTTGTTGTTTTGCAGTAAGAAATGGTGATGCATGATCAACAAGTTAACTGACAAGTTAACTGAGACATTTATCTTGCAATTCTTACTTGGTTTTTAAAAACAGAGGGGAACATATTTATATTACTGCATTTGAATCTTACCCAGGGTTAGGGCTGGGCGATTTTCCCGATTGTATCGATTAATTCGAATTTATTGTTTTGCCACGATTTAATTTTTTAGAAATCGAGGAATCACGATTTTTAATAGAAATATTACCAAATGTTAGAATTAGACACTTTGACAATATGCCGGTGATAACAGTAAAGAGAAACGATTGATCCAACCGCATGTCGGCACACGTGATTAACCGCTCACGTGTGACGAGCTCTGTAAAGGACACAGAAGAATGCGCTTTTGTGTTGACAGAAATGCGACGCGGGCAGTGGAATACGTACAACATCATCCAAGAAGATGGGAGTGAACTTCTTTTAACTTGAGCGCAGTGTTTTTAGAATGGCGTTTCATGCATGAGACACTGCAAGAGACGCGAGCGCAACAGTCAATCAACATCCTTGTTTACACAGAAAAAACTATAGAAAAGCAGCGCAATCGAATAAAAAACCTGTAAAGAACTACTACTGTATGTCTGATATTTCATGTTTGCATCATGGTGACAGGCTGAAAGCTGCTGTTGTTTTTACAGAACATTTAGGCTATAGTTAATGATAGTCAACTGGTATACCTTCAGTCATTTTGACTTTTGAATTTTTTTAAAAGCATTTTCGTCGTATTATTTTATTTCTGAACACATAATATGTATAAGACAAGTTTGTACATTATGTACTTGTAGTTTATGCATCTTTTCTGCAAAGATATTTAACAAGTGATTTGTTTAACATTTACATCATGTTGACAACTTCATGTGTGCTGCACTTAGAATAGAATTTTCTTTAACTTGAATCATGTTGTAGTTACATTTTCAAGTTGACTAGTTAAAAATCGTAAAAAATCGAGAATCGGTCAAACATTCTAGAAAAATCGAGATTTAAATTTTTTGCAAAATCACCCAGCCAGATTTTGTATTGCTTATGGTATTTATAGTGTTAATGACCAATGCCATTTTAGTTTCTGTACACTCTAAAAAAAATGCTGGGTTGTTTCAACCCAACACTGGGTCAAATATGGACTAACCCAGCTGTTGGGTTAAATTTTTTAATTAAAGTTTTAACCCAAAAGTTGGGTTAGTCTATATTTGACCCAATGTTGGATTGAAACAACCCAGCATTTTTTTAGAGTGTACAGAAGCTAAAATGTGTAGGCTGATATCCACTAATACACTCATGCTGATAATTATATTTACTATGTTATGATGAAATAAATATATCTTTGAATATGTTGTTGAAGCTGCTGCTGTGAGTTCCATCTGTATGGGATTTGTTTCTTTTAAATTATCAGATCTGAGAGACTTGAAAATAAATATTTTGATATACCCTCAGGAATATTTAGTTTTGCCATACAGTTTTTGTATAGGCATGTACATATATCTTGTCTACAAAAAAGCTATTGATATTGCACAGGAAAATAAAACAATAACCACTTTAAAATAGCAGATGTGGTTATTGGAATCTGCTATTTTAAGCTGCTATTTTAGGCAGTTAAACATTTATTGAAACATAAAACAGTTAATGGAACACCAATAACATGAAAGGTAATATCTAAAACAATTGTTTTGTCCAACAGAAGTTGTTATTAATAAATTGAAAATTACACATGACAATTTCCCTTGGCCTTACATTTATGATAAATACCCTCATCCTGAAAGGTCAACCTACAACCAATAGATATACAAAAAAACTATTAAAGAAAACAGACATTTGTGTAAATGGACTTTTGACCCTAAAACATAAAGATGCAGCCTATCTGACAACTTCCCATGTCACAATTTGCCACGCTCTTCCTGATTTAATTGTCAGTAAACACTGCTCAATAAAAATTTCCAAGACAAATGGTGGGAAAAATACACATTCATGTCTTGGGCCTTCAGTTTTGCAATATCATTAGGTGTGGAACAGGTACCACTTTTTAGAGAGGCCATCTTCAACATGGAGTGAGTTGTCTGGAGGATTAAACTGTCCCACTTGGGCCCAATCTCTCCTATGCCTCTCTTTCAGTATGTCAGTTACCTGAAAGAAGACACAAGTAAAAGATTCCTTTCACTTTAGCTGTGCAAACAACCCCAGTTTATGAATCAATCTCTTCCGAAGTGAAACT